ACCAAGAAACTAGCAGTATTCACAGTTTCAATCCAAAATTCCTATCCCACACCTGAATGAGACAACGTGTTTCGTGTCCTATCATAAAACGTCTTATTCATGCGTTCTGCAATACCATTATGTTGTGTTGTCCCAATATAAGTACAGTGTCTCGCTATTTCTTCCGTACTGCAGAAATCATCAAACTCATGATAGTAAAATCCCAACTCATTGTCAATCCTAAAACACTTTATCTTCCTCTCTATCTGCTTCTCAATTATGGTCTTCCATCTGACAAATGTTGAAAATACTTTTTCCTTAGATTTCAAAAAATATACTCATACCTTCCTACAATAATCATCAATTAATGTCATGAAATATCTTACACCACTCTTGTAGGGAATTCTGTATGGACCCACTATAAGTTATAATGAACATAATCAAACTTATCTCTGGTCTTGTGCACTGCCTTTTTGTTGAATTTCACTTTCGTCTACTTGCCAAACACACAGTATTCATAGGAACCCAAAGCTTCTTCTTAATACTCGTTCAACAAACTATATCTGTTCAAAACAGATAATCTCTTGTCACTCATATGATCCAAAAGCAGATACCACAACTAATTCTGATTACTGGGCCCTGATGCTACAACAACTTCCCTTGAAACTATATTTTCCTAAAGAGTATACAATCTAAATTCCAAACTGTCTTTCATGAGTACTTCGAAGCCTTTAATCACTTTAAGAGTACTATTCTCTACATGATATTTATAACCTTGAGTTATCAATGTAGATAGAAAAATTATATTCCTCTTCATTTGAGGAACATGTCAATACTCAATAATTCCGATGATACCATTAAACATTCTTAATATGATATTACCAATCTCAGCTACAAATAATGAACAATCATCTCCCATATACACGGTACCACTCATCTGCTTATAAGTAGCAAATCAATGCCTATGTGGACACATGTGGAATGTAGCACCGAAATCAAGAATTTATAAATTCTTTCTATTATCCGAATTCACAGGTAAAACTACCCCAATACTGCTGCTATCACTATCATCAAAATTATCTCTGTCGACTATATTAGCAGAACTCTCATACTATTTTTCTCTTTTCAGCGTAGAACAATCTCTCCTAAAGTGACCATTCTCCCCACTCTCAAAACAGTTTTCCTTTTTACCTCTAAATTTTGTTTTGTCACTTATTTGTGTTCTTCCCTTACTTACCAAACCTTCCATTTCTGTTCCATACTCTGCAAATTTCTTTTACAACTCTTTTAATTTTAGTGCATTACTAACATTATCTAGTGAAATACTAATTTTCTCATACAATGGAATATCAATAAAAGTTTCATAACAAGATGGTAATGAACACAAAACAATCAATGTTTGATCCTCATTTTTAATCTTAATATCTATGTTTGTTCAGGTCCATAATTAAAGAATTAAACTCATCAAAATGTTTAATGGACGTACTTTCACTCATTTTGAAATTGTACAGCCTTTTCTTCATGTAAAGAAAGCTCGGCAGTGATTTTACAGAGTACAACTCTTCTAATTTCTTCAACGCAGCTAAAGCCGAAATCTTTTCAACAATTTCCTATAGAACATTGTCATTCATACTCATAAAGATTACGCATAAGGCTCTATCGTACATATTTGCCTTTTTCGACTCTCTCATACTCTCAGAATATTTATTTTCAGTTATCCCCCATATACCTTGTAGAACCAACTATGATCTCATTGCAATCTTTTACATATTGAAACTCGTACTACCATCAAACTTCTCTATCTTATACTTTGCGAATGTAATCTCGAATCTCTATATTGTGCACCAAAAAACTAAACAAACAGAAATAACATTGTCAGAAAACAAAATAACTGCTCACAAGAAGTTACTGCTGCATAGAAAACCACCACATGCAACCACCGGAGCACCGCATGTGCTGCCACACGCTGCTACGAGCCTTCACACGCTCTCCCACGCGCTGTCACGTGTGCAATCACTGGAGTTGTCACGCACCGCCGCCGTCCGCCGCTCACCGCTGCCGATAAACACAAAAAAAAATACAGAACTGTGCGACTCGACAGATCCAGCACGAATCTAGTGAAAACGTGCCAAAAAACCGCCGAGAACGCCGCAAATCAGGCCTCGCGCAAATTGGGTGCCGCCGCACTAGTTCGTCTTCTCTGGCGCGCATTCTCCCTCTCCTGCTCTGGTTTCGCACACAAAAGAGGCCGGACGATGCGGATCCACCTTCAGTTTCTCTTCTCTGGCCCTCTTCTTCGAGCAAATCAGTTTTCTTCGATGAGCTGCCGCGCGTCCGAACTTCTCTATTTCAGATCTTGTTTCACCGGTCGCCACTCACGCAAACTAGCTTTATCCCTCGCCGATCTAGACGAACTGATCTTAGCACTGGATGTTTCGTCCCTTCAAGCTGCGTTGTTCGTTGTTCGTCGTTCGATCTCTCCACACGGTTCAACTTCTTCAAGTTTTGGTGGGCACACAAAAAAACATATTTGAAATTTTTTTTTCACTCACTAATCTGCTTTCTCTCTCTAACCCAGCTCAAACCCAAACTCTGATACCATTTGTTGAGGAAATTAAACCCTCAAGCATGCACAATCACATTAAAGTAAAAACATAAAGAAAAGAACATAAGAATTTTACGTGATTCGGCAGTGTGCCTACATCCATAGGGAAGACCAGTAAGAAAGTGTTCCACTATGTAATAGAGAGATTAACAGAGTTTTTAACAAACAAAAACTCTCTAAGATATACATCAGATATTCTTCAAAATAAATATAAAAAATATTCATATAAATTATCTCCTATAATATAAATAAATATCACCAAAATTCAAAACAGATCAACATAAAAGCCATCAGACTACCTCCTAGATAAGCCTAACAAATTCACATGTTTTCAGTATCTTGGCAAAAAACACTGCATAAGATAATTTCTCAAAGTCTCATAACCCCCACATTTATCATTAAGAAAAAGACTAAGACATCATATAATCATACGTTATCATTCATTCCGTTACCTTCACACGTCTCTTTGCCCTATTGAGAAAGAAATAAAAAGCTTCTACATCTAAAGTTGAGTTTGGCTCAAATTTTAATGCTATAGAACATGAATGAGAATACAATACAAGATAAATATAAATTTCAACAAAAATAGTATTATAGGTCTAACTCGATTTTATTTCTAACTCAAGGTGCTTTCTGTAATTCTTATGCCGATAATTACTACTATAAATCTACTAGTGAAATTAAAGATATGAGTTGAAGTTGATTCCACCATGAATTATATATATAAATTATGACTACTTTTTAGTTATCAAACAACTAAGATCCAAAAATTAAATGAGAATAGAATAAATTTGAATCAAATGCAATATAAATAGAATTTCAACTATGGGAAGAGAGCCATCCATTCCCAGAGACCCCAACTCTGAAAATTAACCTCACGAATAGAAAAAATTCAAACATTGTTACTCATCGAGCATAAAAAGCCAAACATACTCATGACAGATAGATGGGAAGTTCAAAAGGGTACTTACAGCATCTACAGATGCTTCAGCTGGACCTCTGAAGTAATTTAGTGCATCATCTATCAGACGTCGGTAACCTTGCTCAGGTGCAATTAAATGTGGTTGGTATCCATCTGCCTCTGAAACTACTTTTCTTACATTTTGCAGAGACAAATGGCGATCAAATGGAAGTTTCCTCAAAGCAGCAGGGAGCTGGTTGTCAAAAACTCCATATATCCGGTCACCACCAGGTCGCCTAAGATACAACAATAACAAGGAAACAGTATATAATTGCAACTCATCATAAATTTATGCACCAAGGAACAGAATATATTATGAGAATGTAATACAGGATCAGCTTCCAATTATCATGCACCACGAGCCAATTCCACCTCCTCTCTTAAAAACTAGGTGATGCTTTTAGTCCCCAGTATGTGTGTGCAGACTAGTTATCATGTAACTGGCTTGGTAAGCTCAAGGAACTGGCTATGGTATAAAATTTTCTGAAGTACACGGGAGAAGCTTTACATGAAATGCAAAGTGGACATATCCAGACTGAAAAGATTCATTCAATAACTCAAAAAGTGTCTTAAAATATTCATGAAATAACTATGAAACTGATATGCTGTAGACTAAAATATAGAACCAAAGTTTGATTCAGTACCCTCCGTCCAAATGCTCCTTGAAGACGCGATCAAATGCACGGCATAACTCGAGGATAGTATACAACTGTATCTAATTTATGCATTGCATACAACAAAGAAATTAGTGAACAACATAATGCAGTTTGACCTCAACATCAAGAAAGAACATGTCAATACACTCCTTACCCCAGCCTCAATAGCAACAGGTCTACCAAGTCGATCCAACTCTGATTCAAGTTCATCAATGCTTCTATCAATCAAAGATGAGATGCTTGGTATGCGAGCTCTAATTACTGACTCTAAATGCTGCAAGCATATCAATCACTGTCATCAGTCACATTGGTATTAAGTTAAACAATATAAATCTAAGAACCAAGATTTCAAAGATGCAAATGCATAGGGTCAAACCAAACCTCGGAAAGAAGTTTTGCAAGATACTCTGAACCCATTCTGCTAGCTAAATGCCCATAATCAACACTAGTAGCAAAAAATTCACGCTCCTTTCGCCTAGCAGCAAGCATGTCCACATTTTTGTTAATATCAGATTGTGAGCGGTTCACAATTCCAACCCAAGGGTTTTGAAGTGGATAAGCTCTTCCTTCAAGAACCTAGAATAAAACATAACAGAAGAGAGAAAAGAAATTGCCAGTAAGCATAACTTACAAATAAAGTTCAATAACAGTATACCTTCATGGATGGTGGATGACAAAGGAAGAGGAGACACAAGGAATTACCAAGTGGGAAAATAAATCACAACTATGGTTTCTCATAATCCCTAAAAGCAATATCTTCCATCACAAGACATAGAACAACTACTATAGGAGTTTAGGTTTACTAGGAGATGCATATACATGTCTACGCATCTGTTTCTATGTATTATGGCATACGTGCATATGGACATGTGAATATGTTTTGCTAATAACAATATATGGTGCACCTGAAAAGGACCATATGAAAAATGCAAAGTATTCCCTAGCAAGCACCAGATTTTATAAAAAGAATAATGTAAGTTGTACTGTTTTAAATAACGATAACTTGATAATTCTACAATAACTTTTTTTGTTTTTTATGAAGAGAAAAGTTGGGTATTACTTATTGTGACTACCACAACTAAAGGAACCTAACTGTCATTGAATATTTTTTTGTCATAATTAGAATAGCTTATTGGGATCAAACCAACTTGTTTACTGTAATCTCATCAATACACTAATGTACTAAACCTTAGACTTGTTGAATTAAGTATTATGGGTTTGCCACCGCCAGCCTATAATGTAGTTAAAAAGACAAACTCTACATTCTCAATATGATTCAAACTTGTGATTTTCAAGTTGAGTGTTAGGATCTTAATCACTAGATCAATATTATAACGGTTAAATATGCAGTAACTTAAATGGTCTTAAACCAAGTTCAACTCATTCTACAACTATAAAAAGTTTTAAGTTTTATGTCATGTTTAATAAAAATAAAATCCAAGGAACCAAAGCATATTAATTCCCAATAATGATCTTTAAAATGTTACTTAAGTATAAACTAATCTCTATGGTAGGCTGAGAATAGGCATATTCATATTAACATCCAAAGTTCACAGATGCAGAGAAGATCCTTCTGTGCACTTCAATCAGCAATCTGAACTACTGTTGTCATCATCATTTTTTCTTTAGACAAAAGCAAACCGTAGGATATGAATTAACTGAGAAACTATTGCTATATAAGTAGGATGCTTTAATGTTATGCGTTAAAGTGATAAACTGATAATGCAAAATAAAATAATAAATATCCTCTTTTTTTATGTCACATATATATAATATATTTACATTATACAGATCAGCAACTGCAATCTATCTCTATCCTCCAACCATAAGAATCTACAGATAAAAACATGTAAGAAGGCAAGAAACTTACATCTACTGCATTTGTTCCCTTGTCCATCAGATCAAGCTTTGTCAAAACACCAAACGTCCTCTCACCTGGTAGAGAAGAATAAAAGATTTTTAGAGTATTTTTTAGAAAAATCAAATACAAAACTTTCAAACTAAGTCAATATAGAACTCTCGGAGTAATACTTGACGGATCTACTTCTCTAGAGAGCTTGATAGCATCAGATGTAGCTATATCTTGATTGGCTGGAGTTATTGCCAAAATTATGCAATTTGGCTGCAATTTTCAGAAACCATTTTAATTAATGGGAAGACATAACAGTATTTAAAGTAAAAATAATTGCTGCACGTTCCAAACATTAGAACTGCCAGAAAAACAACAGAAAATTGTTATTAGTCCCAGGAAGCTAAAATTCCAGAGCAAAACAAATGATTTTCCACGGTCTATCAGACATTGCAATTTTGCTTCCTGTTGAAAATAATACAACATCTTATTGCATGTTAAAACTATGTCATGACAATAGTAGAGTGAAGAACATATCAAACAAAGTCACCAAGAAAATAGAGAAGCACATGAATCATCTTAACATTAGAAAGAGAATACCAAAAAAGCAATGTGCAAGTCCAATAGTAGCTACAACTGCAGAACTGGTAAAGCAAGTTGCATTCTCAAATACTTTCCTCTTATATTTGTTAATAAACAATAATCGTCAACCTAAAAAATGTGAAAGAGCATGAAATGACTTAAGAGAGCCATAGCAAAGACTGAAAAGAATTTCTTTTAAGGTATCTTGTCCTTCTATGCATGTCTGTTGAGGAACATGCAAATTAATGGTGGATGACCTAAGTAACAAAAAAATAACTGTAACAATATTTTTCTTTTACCTTCTCAACATATGAGCGAACCATGTTCTCAATGTCCTGAACGATGCTCTCAGGTTGACCCTCTGTCAACATGTATATTCAAACAAATAAAATTTTCTAATTTCCGAAAGTAGAGAAAGTTATTAAAGAAATATAAGAAGAGTATATCTTCTTCAACATGTGGAGAAAAGACAGTGAGAGGATGAAAGCATACCTACGGCAACTTTGGTTAAACCAGGCAAATCTATCAATGTCAAGTTAACAACTGCCCAAAGATAAAGTTGGTCAAAAATTACTAAAGATTATCACATTACTATAAGAATTGTACAACTAGAAATAAAGAACTCTCCAAACTCCCAGACAAGTAAGAAGAAAATAAGGTGTTACGAGACCAAAAGAGTTCAATAGAAATTAACAAAATCTAATTGCTATTATCACATGACACAGGATTTGAAGGGAAAACAAAACAAAAACATATTTATGCATAATAACTGAAGAAAATGTGAAGTCACTCAGGAAATCACTGTCACATGCAAATCAAACAGCAAGTACTGACAAACCTGCCCCAAATAAATTCAAGACAAAGTTACAGGAAGTAAATACTATTCACCATTTAGTCAAATTCTAAATTATGTTACCATTTGAAGAATAGATGCTAAGATGAATAGGAATAGGAGATATCTGCTTCAACTTCCCAGTCACTCTATCAGTTTCATCCTGAATTTCCTTCCGAACCATAGCTTCATAAGAAAACAAGAGGATCAGGCACCAACTTCTTCTACACCTTTTCGGGCGAATTTTTTTTTTTAAAAAAAACAATCATCAGGAAGTATTCATAACTATAAGAGAAACTACTAATAAATACATAACTATAAGACAACATGATAAGGAAACTACAAATCACAAACAAGTAATCTAATATGGACAAGTATGCTGTCCTTTTCTTTTTTGTACTGATAAAAGCCAAAGGCGAAGGTTAATGGTATGCAGATTGGCTGGAAGAGAATAGAAGAGGGAAAGTGTTTCAAAAGCATCTAATCAACATATACTACAGACCTTTCATTCCACTAAGAGTTAAAACCTAAACCATTAAAACTCATTTCATTCAATAAGAAGGAAAAAACCACTGAGCATAATTTATCACCAGAGTATGTACGAAGACAAAAAAAAAAAAAAAAAGAGGAAAAATCAGGATAGCCAGAGTGCAATATATGCATGACGAATTACATACAGAAGTCTGTGAATTTTCTCTTTGGAAAATGAAGAAACTCTGCATATTCCTGTAGCCCTTGCTCTATCTTCTGGAGCTGTAGCACTAAAGGTCTCCTTGTCACAATACCTAAACCCCAATGAAGTCATAAGAACCAAAAACAACTTGTATTTTGCCATCTAAATCAGTAAGTGATATAAAATGGTTTCAAAAGAAATAAATCTTAAATGTTGATTGATTTAAATTCCAATAGCCGGAACATTCATAAACCGGATTTAATTCATTCACTTTCCTTCTTTTAAACAGAAGTACAAAGTTACATAATTGGAGACTCGTTGAAGTATTTCTTTCTTTCTTTCTTTTTTTTTTTTTTTATCTCCCTCCATTCCAAACCAACAATAATGATACAATATGAATAAGCTCTAACCCGATCCTCTTGGAAGAAAATCCCTGCCAACGATGCTCTCTAACACCGACGACTTTCCAGAACTCTGAATTAACACAGGAAAATTCAAAAACAACACCATATTATACACTTATTCACGGGAAGACAATGAACAGCACTACTGAATTTACTTCAGATACACTAGATCAGTCGATCAGAAATAAAACGCATGTGTATACACACAAAAGAATGCATAAAAATAAACAAACAAGTAAAGGTATGCGCAAAACAGCTACTGCAATAACTATGTTCCCTCGAAACACAAAATAAAATACACGCAGCAAACAGAGACACACATATAGAGGGAGCGAGAGCGCGAGAGAGAGAGAGAAAGAGAACCTGGCCACCAACAACAACAACAGAAGGAAGAGCCTCCCAGAGAGTCGGCAAAACAGTATGAGCAGAATCAGAACCAACACCGCCATGGTCACCAAGTACGGTACACGCTCGCTGTATACGATTCACCAGACCTATCAGGCTCTCCATCGTAGCGGTCATTTCCGTACCAGCAGTAACCTTGTCTTCCTCAGAAACGTCGGATTTAAAATTCAAATTTGAGAGAACAATTGCAGAAACGATGAGGCAAGTGACGATAGAGAGCAAGTGAGAGCAGCAGAGAAGAAAGAGAAAAGCTATTTTGGATTTCTTGTTTCTTTTTTTGTGGGGAGCGGTGACACTTGGGTTCATGTAAATGCGCCACGTCAGCTGAGAATTTTGAATTTGCTTTGAAACGTTTTCAACGGAAATTCAAATGTTTGTTTTCGTGGTGTTTTATTTGTGGGCCTTCTTTTCCTCTTGAGCTCAAATTTTGGACCGTTAAAAGAAAATTCGGCTTCTTCTTGTTCCAAACTAAGTTTTTTAACGTTATATTTATAGCATATTCAAAATACGGGCACAATTTATTTGTAAATTTAAATTTATTTTAATTAATATACAATTTCATTCTAAATTTATAATGTATTGTTTTTTGACATCACATTTATAATATACTTTTTTTTTTTTGTCTTTCTAATACAATTTGCACTTTTTTAGTTAAATAAATTGTGAATTTATAAATAAATTTCATATAATATTTAAAATTAGTTTAAACATAAATGTGATGTAACAATGAATTAGTGCGTAGCTTATATTTTGATTTTATTTTATAAAAAAAAATTTCTTAAAATTTTTGTATTAATATAAAATAAAATAAATTTTTATTTTTATTTTGGAGTGTTTTTTTTTTAAAGTTCTTTAATAATATTTAAGAGAAGATAGAACCATAAATATAAATAACGTTTGAATATAATTCAAAATTATAATTAAATTAAAATCTTGTAATTGATTAAACCCATTGTTATTGAATTGATAATTGGCAAACATGTGAAACGTAACCATAATTAAATTAGTAACCCATCGGTAGGTTTTCGTTTTTTGATTTTTTCGGCCAATCAAGGCCCCCTAACATGTTTTTTTGCATGGACATATATAAAGCTGGCCAAAAACGGCTAGGCCGAGTCAAACTGCCATCACGGATGGTAGTGTCGTCGCCAGAGCACGGCGCTACCGCCGTGCCAGAATTCTAAAATTGGCCGGAAAAGATTTTTAACACCGATTTTGAGGTTTTGAGGTATTTTTAGGTAAGTGAAGCGTGTTTTAATTTTCGCATAAAAATTTAGAAAACTCGTAGACCACCAATAGGCGTAATAAAAAGTTCAGTGTTTCAGACACCGATTCGGGTAAGAATTCATTATCTTATTCTATGATATGGAATTGAAGTTTAATAATCAATAATATGGTATTTTGTGTAATTTAAAAAATTTTGAGAATAATTACAAGTTACTAATGAAGTCGGAACCGGTTAGTTATTTATTTGTTTGTTCTATTTAACTGATTGTTTGATTTTACAGCTTTAAATACATGATAATATACTAGAATAGTTAAATGATTCAATTGTGCTTCTTTAATACATATATTACTTATCTTGCGTGATTTACGGTTGATTTATGAAATTAAAAATTAATATGTAAATGAAAAATTACTTGGTTATGTGAATTAATGAATGGTTGTCTTACTGGATATCCTATGAGATGGTGGACGGACTGGGTACATAGGGAATCCTACTGTGAATGTTACATCATACTGGATGGCGAAGAATAATCAGTCGCCGGAGAAGGGAGCCGACCGCTGTTGTACCGAAATCACTTCCAACCGTCAAAAAAGGTAAAAATTCTCTTATCTACTCGGAATTCAATTCTGAGCACTTCTATGGCCATATCGGAGCAAAATGGATAGTGGTTGAGCCGAAAATTGCAGGTAAAATCTAGCATAGCCGTTGTTGGCAAAACCCGCAACCTCCTCTGATGAGCTCTTTTCCGTTTTCTATTTCGTACAATTTTTCTACAATTGTGTTCATCATTCTGTTTTCTACAAGTTGACCGAAAAAAAAAATCTAGCTGCGAAGGTGAGCTAGCGGAGTCGCCGCACCCGGAAAACTCTACCATCGGTAGGTTTTTGTTTTTTGATTTTTTCGGCCAACCGAGACCCACTAACGTGTTTTCACAGGGACATGTATAAAGTCGGCCAAAACTGACAAAAATCGACCAAAAACGGCCAGGCCGAGGCAAACCGCCGCTGTGGGCGGCGGTGCCATCGCCGGAACACGGCTGTGCCGCCATGTTGGAATCCCAAAATTTGCCAAAAAAGATTTTTAACACCAATTTTGGGGTTTTATGGTATTTTTAGGTACGTGAAATGTGTTTTAATTTCCGCATAAAAATTCAGGAAACCCAGAGACCACTAGTAGGTGCAATAGAAAGTTTGATGTTTCATACACCGATTCGGATAAGAATCCATCACCTTATTCTCTATTATGGAATTAAAGCTTAATAATCAATAATATGGTATTTTGTATAATTTAGAAAGCTTTGAGAATAATTACAAGTTACTAATAGAGTCGGAACTGGTTAGTTATTTATTTGTTTGTCATGTTTACCTGATTGTTTGATTTTACAGCTTTAAATACATGATAATATACTAGAATGGTTAAATGATTCAGTTGTACTTTCTTGATGCATATATTGCTTGTTTTGCGTGATTTACAGTTGATTTGCAAAATTAAAAATTAATATACAAACGAAAAATTATTTTGTTATGTGAATTAATGAATTGTTGTCTTACTGGATATCCTAGGAAATGGTCGACGGATCGGGTACATAGAAAATCCTACCATGAATGTTACCTCATACCTGACGGGGTATCGATAGATGGTATTTTTGGCGCTCATACTGGATGAGATATGGGGACGACCCGATTCACCCTCATACCGGACGGGGTATCGATGGATGGTATTTTTGGTACTCATACTAGACGGGGTATGGGGACGGCCAGTTAGTTGACAAGTTTAGATATTACTTCACGTGTAGTGGGACATCCCTATGGACCTCCAGGGATACCAATAAGCAAATAAAAAGGAAAAATTGTTAAATCTCGCAATGGTAGGTATGTAATAAATTGTTTTTCTTATGATAAATGAATTTACTTAAATTAAGAGCTCTATTGGTTATTTTTGTGATTTTTATCAGCTTTCAGTTTCTGTATCGGTGAGTAATATTCTTACTAGGGTAGTGTAGCTCATTTTTTTATTAATTATTTTAGATCAAGAGGACCAAGATCCAAATCACGATTAACCAAAGGGTTGTGAATAGTTTACCACCTAGGCTCCATTCAAAAGCTAGTGAAGGTCATCCTAAGATGCTCACTTATTTACTTTTCATTTATTTCTTTAATTTTCATTTATTCTTTTAGAATGGGCATTCTTGTATCCTTATTGGGCATTCTAAATTATTGTTAAGGAATGTAAACCCTAACTCTATTATTTCGTTTCTACATTTAATTTATGATTTTATTTCCTTTTAAGTCTCGGACCTCTACAGTTGGTATCAGAGACCTATTCTTCAGAACCATTCCTTACATAAAAACCTAAGGAAACACAAAAAAAAAATGAATTATCGCTCAACCATTCATTGTGAAATACAAGTACAGATAGATGAAGAGAGAAAGATCCCTACTAAACCGAACAGCCCAGGAGGGTTCGCTTCAAGATTATGTTGACCAACTATTTGAAATGCTAGAAAGACTCATCACTGCCCTGCAGGCCCCGGAGGAAAGGAGGGAGTTACCTGACCCTCCCCCGCTACCACAATTTGAGCCACTTCTGCAATGGGAAGATCCTAAGCCACCCCGGTATAACCCTGCTCCTCCATAGTAACATTCGGCATCACTATTGTATAGTCTGGTGCCCCCACTACATCACCTGGTGCCACTACAGTACAATATAATGCCTCCACTGTATCATCCAGTACCACCACAAGGCCACCAATCCCTCCCCAGTATAATCCAATCCCTCTTCCACAAGAACCAATTTTACCCATGATGGACCCAAGCTACATTGAGAGGTAGACTAAACTCATCTACTTTTGCAGGGGCATCCTCCTTTGAAGAGGTTGAGTACTAGTTAGCTGAGACAGAGAAGGTTTTCACGACTCTTGGGGTGGTTCCCGAATAGAGAGTTATACTTGTCACCTACATGCTAGTGAGAGAGGCAAGTTGCTGGTGGCAGCACAAGAAGGCCACCCTACACGTTCCAGTCACTTGGGAACAGTTTCTGATGGCCTTAAATTCAGAGTACCTCCTAGAGCATCTCAGACATCTGAAGGAAATGAAGTTTGCATACCTAATCCAGGGTGATATGATTGTATCTGAGTATGCCTGAAAGTTTCATGAGTTGGACCGGTATTCCCCTGAGAGCATGATGCATGAATGCAGAAAGGCAAGGAAGTTAGAGTCGGGCCTCTGCCCTGAGATTAGACAACAACTGTATGTGTTCAAGCTCAGTATTTACTAAGCCATTATGGCTAAGACATAACTAGTGGAGAGGAACCTTCACATTTTTTATCCAACAGTGGGGAACCTCAGGCCTCCAGTTTCACACCAAAGACCAGCATCCACTGCACCTATTCAGTAGAACAAGAGACCTAGGTTAGTGACTCAGGCTCCTCCTCAGATTCTGGTAACATGACGCGGTAGGACTTGCCAACACTGTGACAAAGATCATAAGGACCGACCCTACTATTACCTCAGCAATACTTAACATATATGTGGGAATGCCCATCACTACGCGAGAGAGTGCCCGAGGAATCATAATCAGGTCATACCTCCTATCTAGTCCAAAGCTTGCAACCTCACTTAGCAAGATGTAGAAGCCAACCCATACGTGATACAGGATACGTACACTATCTGCAATCATCTTGCACATATTTTGATTGATACTGGTTCCTCACATTCATATGTCTGACATGTTTTTACACCAAACTTGAATGTATTACCTGAAAGACTTGATTCTGTATTGTTTGTGTCTACTCCTAGGAGTAAAACACTATTATGGTAGGTTATATACAAAGCTTGTATCATAGATATAGCATATAGGAAATTGAGTGTGGACCTAATAGAGATTGACATGGGAGGCTTTGATATAATCCTAGGAATGAACTAGCTAGCGAAATATCACGCCATTGTAGATTATTTTCACAAAAAACTTATATTCAACCCTACTAATGAAGAGTCATTTACAAATTAATAAAATTTTTAAACATTGTTCTCTTATAGCAATTTTC